TGGTTTTACATTTACTTAGGAAAGCTAGACTTATGAAAGGGCACCATTTCTTAGTTTTGCCCATTTCACACATTCATGCATTCAAGACTTTAAGTAACAAGGAGGGACACTTTAGTCTACCAACCAAGTCACAACATTTTCATTTAAGGATACTTCATAATCCAACATCATTTCATATATACATCATGAGAAATCATACTTTAACTCACAATGCTATCCACTTTACATAGGATCATCACAAGATCACATAAAACTCATTCACACCATTCCTTCACATATAGCTTCACATAAAACTCATTCACATCATTCCTTCACATATAGCTTCACATAAAACTCATTCACATCATTCCTTCACATATAGCTTCACATAAAACTCATTCACATCATTCCTTCACATATAGCTTCACATAAAACTCATTCACATCATTCCTTCACATATAGCTTCACATAAAACTCATTCACATCATTCCTTCACATATAGCTTCACATAAAACTCATTCACATCATTCCTTCACATATAGCTTCACATAAAACTCATTCACATCATTCCTTCACATATAGCTTCACATAAAACTCATTCACATCATTCCTTCACATATAGCTTCACATAAAACTCATTCACATCATTCCTTCACATATAGCTTCACATAAAACTCATTCACATCATTCCTTCACATATAGCTTCACATAAAACTCATTCACATCATTCCTTCACATATAGCTTCACATAAAACTCATTCACATCATTCCTTCACATATAGCTTCACATAAAACTCATTCACATCATTCCTTCACATATAGCTTCACATAAAACTCATTCACATCATTCCTTCACATATAGCTTCACATAAAACTCATTCACATCATTCCTTCACATATAGCTTCACATAAAACTCATTCACATCATTCCTTCACATATAGCTTCACATAAAACTCATTCACATCATTCCTTCACATATAGCTTCACATAAAACTCATTCACATCATTCCTTCACATATAGCTTCACATAAAACTTATTCACATCATTCCTTCACATATAGCTTCACATAAAACTTATTCACATCATACCTTCACATATAGCTTCATATAGGACTTTACATATAGCCTCATTCATATATAATAATATAACAATACAATAACACTCATATAATGCCTTCTAATTAGAGTGACTTAAAATGGAAGAATTTGGTCTAGAAGGGTTTTATAATTGCTAGGAAAGGAATAGAATAGCATAGGGTCAATTTTAGAAAAGGACTAAGAACCCATAAAGTCTTAACTTAAAATTTTTCACTAAACCCGTCTAAGCTCGTCCCTTTTTGCAGCCTGACAGTGCTTCAATATTTCGGGCATAACTTTTTACTCCGAGGTCGGAATTGGGCAAACTCGGTGGCGTTGGAAAGAGGACTCAAAGACCTTTCATAGGATAGGTAATGGCCCACCTAATTAATTTTGAGCTAAGAGATATGACCATTTAAAGTTGACCCTTACAACTCACTAGTTCAAATGACTAGTTTCCGGACGTCACGGTCATTTCTCATCATTTCATCAAGTTCTCAACTCCAAACTCACATGTGAGGCTCTAGTTTCACTAGTTCGTTTTTAGGGTCGTTACAAGTTGCTCGTGGCACGTTGTACAGGACAAATGCAGAAATATGCCAAGGTGATTGAATGCGGCTCATGAAGAGAATTCTGTAGATTTGTGGCATAGAAGAATGGGTCATATGAGTGAGAAACGATTGCAAATTCTTTATAAAAAAATTACTTATATCTTTTGCCAAAGGTACAATGATAAAACCTTGTAACTTTTGTTTATTTGGTAAGCAACATAGAGTCTCATTTTAGACATCATCTAAAAGAAAGTTGAATGTACTTGATTTGGTATATTTTAATATTTGTGGTCCAGTGGAGATATAATCAATGGGCAGTAATAAATACTTCGTTACTTTTATTGATAATGCTTCAAAAAAATTGTGGGTTGATATCTTGAAAATCAAAGATCAAGTGTTTCAAGTATTTCAAAAGCTTCATGCTCAAGTAGAAAGGGATACAAGTCAAAAGCTAAAACGTCTCCGAACTGACAATGGAGGTGAGTACACTTTAAGAGAATTTGAAGAGTACTGTTCAGACCATGGAATTAGACATGAAAAGATAGTTCCTAGAACCCCACAACACAATGGTGTAGCTGAGAGAATAAAGCGCACCATTGTTGAAAAGGTGAGAAACATGCTCAGAATGGCTAAATTGCCTATGTCATTCTAGGGTGAAGCAGTTCGGACAACATGTTATCTTATCAATCGTAGTCCATCAGTTCCATTGGAGTTTGACATTACGGAGAGAGTTTGGACTTATAAAAAGATGTCCTACTCACATCTAAAGGTGTTCGATTGTAAAGTTTTTGCACATGTACCGAAGGAGCAGAGAACCAAGCTAGATGATAAATCAGTTCCCTTCATATTCATCGGTTATGGAGATTAAGAGTTTGGGTACAGACTGTGGGATCATATAAAGAAGAAGGTCATCAGAAGCAGAGATGTAATCTTCTGAGAAAGTGATGTTGGAACTGTTGATGATCTGTCCGAGAAGGCCAAGAAAAAAATGGTATAGTCCCTAATTTTGTTACCATTCCTTTTAATTCTAACCACCCTATAAATGCAGAAAGTATGATCGATGAAGTTGTTGAACATGAAGAGCAACCTAATAAGATTGTTGAGAGGGGGAGCAACTTGGTGATAATACCAAGAAACTGGAGTACCCAGAAGAAGAACAACCTCAACCTCTGAGTAGATTAGAAAGACAAAGGGTAGAGTCATCCAAGTACCCTTCCTCAGAGTATGCCCTCATCAATGATGAAGGGGAGCCAGAAAGTCTTAAAGAGATGTCTCATCCAAAAAAGAGCCAATGGGTGAAAGCCATGCAAGAAGAGATGGAATCTCTACAAAAAAAAAAAAATTGGTTGTAAAAGGCTTCAAACAAAAGAAATGTATTAATTTTGATGAAATATTTTCACCTGTTGTCAAAATGACTTTTATTCGAATTATTTTGAGCCTAGCAGCTACCCTAGATCTTGAAGTTGAGTAATTGGACGTGAAAACTGCATCCTTCACAGAGATTTGGAAGATGATATTTATATGGAACCAGAGGGATTTGAAGTATCTGGAAAGAAACACATGGTGTGCAAATTGAATAAGAGTCTTTATGGGTTGAAACAAACACCAAAGCAATAGTACAAAAAGTTTGACTCTTTAATGAAAATTCAAACGTACACAAAACCTATTCTGATCCATGTGTATACACTTCAAAAGATTTTCTCACAACAATTTTATTATTTTGTTGTTGTATGTGGATGACATATTAATTGTAGGACAAGTCAAAGAGTTGATTGCCAAGTTGAATAGAGATTTGTCCAAGTCATTTGGCATGAAGGACTTGGGCCCAGCACAACGAATTCTAGGGATGAAGATTGTTCGAGAACGAACAAAAAGAAAGTTGTGGCTATCTCAAGAGAAGTACATTGAACGTGTATTAGAACGCTTCAACATGAAGAGTGCTAACCCCGTTATCATGCCTCTTGCGGGTCATCTGAAGTATTTACTTACTTGGCCTTCTTTTTTCTTTTCATTTTCTCTCTGCTAATGTTGTGATTGAATTCTCTCTTCCCCTTTGATGCCATAAAAGCTCCAAACCTATTGTTAAACATAAATAACTTAGACATCTATGCCTTTCAATTAGGCACTTCAATTATCATAAAGTTGAACAAGTAAACACATGCTTTACATAACATAGAAAATTGTGTGAGATTTGTCACGATGCGTTTGTCTATTTGTTCAACTTTATAACAGTGTAAGTGTCTACTTGTGCACACTCAAAGTTGGAGGGCGTAGATGTCAAGTTAAAAGATGTTTATATATTAAGTCTAAATATACTATATTCAAACATGTAAATTTCCTATAGTTAAGTGAATCGGTGAGTTAAAAATGCATGACAATTAATTATGATTAAGTGCTAAAAATTCATGTATAAACACATGTAGATTTGAAGATTTGATGTGAATACAAAGTACGGATAAGTAAATACTTCTTGTTATAAGATTTTATTATGTTAAATTGCTAACAAATATATGTAACATCGAGGTTTAAACTTAATCACAGAGAGTTCTTTATGATTTAGAAAGAGTCGATCAATAGATTTATTTCATCAATTAATCAATAAGAGGACTTGGTATACATAGTATTAAACATTTATGCAATAGGGGCAACACCTACCATAGGGTTGAAATTTCTAATGTTATTGATAATAATATTAAAAGTTTAAAATGCTTAAATAAACATATATAATATTATAATAGTACTCAAATATTCTCTAGTGTAAACGTTTACTATTGACTTTATTGTAAAGATTATTTTGCCCACTTGGTCATGGTTTATTCAACACTATTTTATAGACCTTGCGACGACTTTTTATTTTGCTCCATATAATTTTCGTAAGAGAGAAGTATTGAAAATATGTTGAATTTAACACAAATTATTAGTTTTATTTTGGATTCATTGATCGTCTTAAAAATACTTCTCTATTTGACTAATTAAATTAGGTGTTAGATGCACTCCGATCTGTCATATGACATAACAAGTGGTTTCAAACTCTAGTAAGAGTATGAGATTCTTAATAAGAAGTCGAGAAATGTGTTGAAAATATCGGTAAACTTAACGAGAATTTAGGAATATATATTAGTTATGTTGCAAGATCAGAGTGTGTTTAAGTTTAGTTAATCAAGTTAAAAGACGCTTTTAAGGCTGTCAATAGTTCGGAGACGAAACTATTAATTTATGCCGAATTTAGAGAGGTTTCAATACTTCTCTTTTTCGAAAATAGCTAGTAATATGTCTATTTTATAAATAACAGTTTAAACTCCAAATTGGTAAATAATTCATATTTAAATAAGAATTAAAATATCAATTTGATAATTTTTCCAACAAATTATGAACTTAAATTTAACAAATTACAGTTTATTTGATAATTGGAGAGGAAAAACAAAAAAAAATGTCTTATTATGATTCTTCTTCTTCTTCTTTGGTTCCTCCTCTGATTGATAAACCCAGTAAAGTTGACCTTGAAGCTGGAAACATTGACCAAATTCAGTGTAGAATTTGCCTTGAAAATGATGGTGAGTGTTTTTGATGACCCTTTCACTTTTATTCATGGTTTTGTTCAAATCTTGAAATATTTAGTTAGTTTATGTGTTTTATTATGATTCTGTTTTTTGAATTTTTAGTGTAAAGCAAGTTGCTTTGTCAATTGGGTGTTCAATGATATCTGAATTAAGTGTGTTTTTGGGGTGATTTGTACATCTTTCAAATAGGGTTTAGATAATCGTGATGTCTGAGTCAGCTTGAATGAGTAATGGGTTTTTGCCCCTTTTCTAGTTGAAAGCCTAAAATATTTTTGCCCCAAGTAAAGAAAATTTACATGTGGGAGGTAGTGCTGAAGTCTGAATTTTCACTAAGGAGATTCAAAATATAAAGAAGTACAACATACCTTGTATAGTCCTGATCTAAGGAGCGTAGAGTGTATACGGACCTTATCCCTACCTTGAGAGGTAGAGAGACTGTTTTCCATAAATCCTCGGCAATATTTATGGAGACATAAGCAGTAACAACAATAGGATAGTAAGAGAATCGAAGCAAAAAAGACAACATGTAATAAAAGTTGACCGAAGTCTAGTTGAACGAAGAGGGTTTCTGTTGGTTGAGGTTCATAAAAAGTTAGTCAAATTATAATAAAAGTATACCCTAGCTAATTTGGGTTATGTATTGGGGAAACAAGCATAACAGATTTTGGATCGAGGTATAGTTGATTGATGGATTTGAATCATTCAACTCAAATGACTGAAGGAACAAAAGAGCATTTTGACAAGGAGGAGTTGTTAGTTTGTTACTATCTTTTATTGAGTGCTTCTTGTTGAATTCTTCCGTGATTATTTTGACTTATTTTTTAGGTGAAGATTTTATTGCCCCTTGTAAATGCAAGGGTTCATCAAAGTATGTTCACCGAGAATGCCTTGATCAGTGGCGTGCTGTGAAGGTATGTTTTCAGATCGTTTGTTTGTCAGAATTTTTAGCTATTGACTTTTGCATCATTATAGAAAAAGGCTTCAACTGCTGGCGGATTACTACTAAATACCCGTAAGCTTTAATCATCAAAATAGAATATATACCTGTTCCTTAAAGTTTGTCTTTTTACAGGAAGGATTTGCATTTTCTCATTGTACGACTTGCAAGGCTCCATTTTACTTGAGAGTTAACGATCTTCAAAGAAAATGGCGAACCTTAAAATTTCGGTTCTTTGTGACCACAGACATCTTGTTCATCTTTCTTGCAGTTCAGCTTGTACGTGGATGACCCTGTTTACAATTTTCTTATTCATTTTTAGATATTACTGTTAGTAGTTGTGTGGACAATATCTTCATAGGATCACTAACCTTTTGTTTTGCAGGTGTTAGCTGCACTGGGATATTTAGTATATGTGATTGATACACATCAGAAGTCTTGGCTTCTTCTGCATTGGGGGTTTGGAAGTGAACTAGGCTTCTATTACATATGCGGTAAAACATATTCAAGTGCAGTAGTTATCAACATTTATTTGTATATGTATGTATGTATGTCGAACTGTTGTTTTGTCTTCGTAATATTCTTTTGTCCGACTGGATGACCAATCTAGATAAATGCACTAAATGACCACATGCCAGATACAGTTGTTACCAACCCATGTTGACATGTAACTTCGGTACCAATAGTCCCTGGAGACCTAATTTTCCTGCTGGTTTTGGGATTCTATATCTTATTTAGTTGCTTGCTAAATGAGATTTGGTTGGGGAGTGGTGGATGAATTTGAGATAAACAATATTTACTTAGTTATTCCAAAGTTCAAACGTCGTAAGAACGCTTTTCCTTGTGTGACTCTTCTACTGGAACTTTGGACAAATTCAAGAGTAGGTGCTATTGTGTTGTCCAATTATTCATTCCTTGGACTGCGATAAGGCGAATTACCACCTTCACTGATGGAAGAACCAACAAAATGATACCCCAGCGCTTTGGTTTAGTGGTGAGGACGCAACACATTAGTGTGGGTTAAGTGCACATGACGAGTTTAAACTCAATCACCAACTAAATCATGGTATTTAATTGGGAGAATGGTAGAGGGGTAGACTCATGCTCCCCTGAGTTTTGAAGTGGTGGACACTATTGGGGTTGGAAGAGCTAACTCAGAAATTTCATTTTTGACCATCATATGTTTGGTCACGGGTTCAAGCCGTGGATAAACCCTCTCGCAAAAATGCAACGTAAGGCTGCGCAGAATAGACCTTTGTGGTCCGGCCCTTCCCTAGATCCCGTGCATAGTGGGAGCTTTAGTGTACCACATTTCCCTTCTTCTTCTTTTTTTATGTCAGGTGAGTGCACCTCTACTAATTCCATGAGCTACTTGCTAACTCTCACCAACACAAATATCGGTACTCTGTCCATCAAAGTTTGGATCAATGGAAGAAATCATCAAGTGATTTTGAATATGTTGGATCTGAATCTAAGTGCTCATGGTTCTCAACTCACTTCATTGACCATTAAGGAATTTATCGGTTATCTAAATAGAAATAAGGAAAAAAAAACACTATATGAAGAGGCGTGAATGGTTGATATGTTTCTCTCTTGCTTATTCCGAAGAAAACATATCCTTCTTGTATGTCCATCAGGGCATGAAAGGAACATGCCTGATGTATTCTCAAGATGTAAATAGTGCATTATCCAAAATTTGGACTCTTCTATTTTAAGTATATAGTGATTCTTAAATGATTGTATGAGTTAATCTTGTTGCTATTTGCTGGCTTTCTTGCAGGAGCACTGTTGTTTTTCGCTTTGGTGGGCATATCTGGCTGTTTCTTAACTTGCTTTGACGAAAGTGTGCGCGATGATTTGAGTCAGCCCTGCCAGAATGCATTGTCTTGTTGCTCTTGCACAAGGTACAAATAATGTGTTTTATGTTTCTTTTTTTGATTTGTTTCTTCTTTCTGATCATTTTTCATATCTTTGCAGCTTGTGTGCAGACTGTCATACGCGTAGACCTCATACAGGTACAACTTATATTTGCATTGATACTAACCTATGCTGCGACAATTGTTCAAACTCGACATGTGAGTGTTGCTCCGAGAATCATTCTTGCACGGACTGTGAATGTGGGAGTTGCTTAGGAGGCGGTGGTGATCAATCTGGGATACCGGGATTATTAGTTGTGGCTATAATTGTGATAGGACTATTCGCCCTCCTTGGCATGTTTTACAGTGTTTTGGTTGCTACAATGGTCGTACAGAGAATTTGGCAGCGACACTACCACATACTCGAGAAAAGAATGCTGACAAAGGTAAATCGACATCCTCGTTTCTTCAATTTGATTGCCATTGTCTAGGGGAGGATCTACACCACAAGAGCTGTGGCTCAAACTCTGTATTTCCGTTAAGAAATCCACTTAATATGTATAAACTATCTCCGAGGGTCTTTCAGAAACAACGTTTCTACCTCCATGAGGTAGTAGTAAGGTCTGAGTACATTCCACCCTCCCCAGACCTCACTTGTGGGATATCACTGGGTATGTTGTTGTTATGTATAAACTATCTATGGAATCTAGTCGTTGTCCTGTCTTAAAACCTAGAACTCATAAATTGAAAATCTTGGATCCGTCTCTACTATTGTCATATATATCTTACATGCTCATTCTTGTATAGGAATATGTTGTGGAGGACGTTGGCGAGGTGGCTTGTAACGATTGGTCTCCGCCGCCACTGCCACAACAGCATGTTCAGAAGCTGGAATCACTTGGACTTGTATAAAACTTGAAGGACTTGACTATGGGGCAATTCTTGTTTATAACAGAAAAATTTCTTTGAAAATGTTTTTTTTTTTTTTCCACATATGTGCATAGTTTATAAATGATCACAATTCACATAAATGTAATTATTGAAAAAACTGATAATTTTTTTTTTAATGTATGTATCCATTTTGAAATAACTTCAAACAAAATCCTAATAAAGTTTAGCTTCAGATATTGTGTATATCGGTAAGTTTTATATAGTTGAAGTTCAGATACATGTGATCGGTTGAAGTTAATGTAATTTTGCCTTATTTTGGTTATTTTTATTTGAACTTTAGATTTGAAATAAGCGAAAGGAAAATATCTAAAGACCATCCTAAATTGAACGCGTTTTATTTAGATAAAATATTTTAAGCATATTGACTAGGTGATTTGAATCATTTAACTGGACGATAGGTGTATTATTTGATATTTTAAAATTGATTATTTGAGTCGTTAGTGTTAAAATGTCATGAATGTGCATATTGTGTCACAACGATGATATAAATATGCTCAATCATTAACGAGTAGCAAGATTGAGTCATTTTAAATATTTTTATCGTCTCAATTTATGTGACACATTTCATTTTTTCAAGAGTCAAACAATTTAAGTTTGACTGAGAATTTGCTCATGTAATCTTCACATTTTTTAAAAAATGAAATTTATATATTTGTAAATTATGTAAATAGTACTATAAGTCACAATAATTGATAATTCAAAATATTTAAAAGATATATGAAAAATTTACTGTTAAAGATATATTTGTTTGAATCTCAAAATTTAAAATATGTCACATAAATTAAGAGAGAGTAATTCAATAACATACTTCCTTAATAAAATAATAAGATTTTTAATGCTTCATCAAACCGACCATGCAATTAGGGCATTTGAAACAATATAAAATTCCTTTTAACTTTGAACATTTCTTATCTGTTTTTTTAATCTCTCTCCTCGGAGTTCGTGTCATGGAGTCTAACTATTTTAAACTCGCTTTGCATTGGGGACAAGTATATGTCAGTTCCGTAGATCAAGGCTTTCAAGGACTCCTGAGTTGGTGATTTGTCACCAGACAGCACATTACACATTAGCAGATGGATGCTAGGGCTTCATTCGGGGTGTTTTCTATCAAGAAGAATTTACATTGGAATTTGATTATTCCGAGTACACGTGAGGTAGAGCTTTATTGATAGGCATAGAGGGGTGTAACACTCAGTGACTGAGTTAGAATTTTTGATAATGGGTTCAAAATTTGAAGAGGGGTGTAATATTCAGTATTGGAGGGGCTCAAAATTTGAAGAAGTAAAGATACGAACTAATCGAAGGGGATACGACTTTTATTATATATACATAAAAAGATAATTTTAATTATATATAAATAATAATATTTTCCGTCGAAGGAACAGTATATTGGCTCTGCCCCTGATAGCACTCCCTATCAAAATTTTTTTTTTACTTTAAAGCTCAAACATGAGACACCTGATCAAGAGAGGAGCAGCTCATTGCACCAAATTATTTGACGGTTAACATTTCTTAATTCTACCTATTTTAATTCCCAAAACCCAAAAAAAAAAAAAATTGAAAAAAGAGAATATTCGTCAAGTTGGTGGATTCCCTATCTGGAAGTTTCAAATTGTAACCACAAAATAAAGACACGTTCATAATACAACCTCACCCAACAAGACCACCATATAATAAAATAATATTAACTCTTTTTTTTTGTGTGTCATTCAACTCATCCTAATCCATAATCCATAGTACTTTGTACTATTAGGCTGTGTTTGGTATAAAAAAGGTGGATTATTTAGTTTAAATTTTTTTTGGTATATGGATAAAAATAATATTCTACGAAATATTTGTATATAATCTAAATAGTATTATAATGAATTGTTTGGTAGTTGATTAGTGTTATGTAAGTATTAGTAATGTAAAAATTAGTTATGAAAAAATTTGATTGTGTAGGTATTAGTAATACATATCTAATTATTCATACATTAGTTGTACCACACATAAAATGATACATAAATTTTCTCATAATTTATACATATATTAGCTACGTGTGCCACTGAATTTAAATTAAACATTGTATTAATTTTATATTTTCTAAATTTTAATTGATTTGTACTGTTTTGATTTGATACAAAATTCAAAAAAGTAAAAAAAAAAAATTGAGTCTTGTAATTTTAAACATATGACGTGAAAAAATGAAATTAAAAGTTGTCAACAAAAGAAAAATGGACTAAAAAGAGTTAGAACAAAGGAAATATGTAAATAACATACCTCCTTATCAACTACTAAATATAATATGAGAATTTTACATCAATCTCATAATTTTAAGAGTTAATTACATCATATTCTCACTCAGTATATAATATTACTTATGCAATATTTAATATTTGTATAATTCACCACCAAATTAACAACAAAAAAAAAGTGAGAATGGGTGGGTAAGGAAAATGCTCGATGGGCGAAGATAAGATGTGTTGAAACATGAGAACAACATAATCACTGAAATAACACTTGTAGAATATTGATTTTTTCTATTTTCACTAAAATGTTATTTTCTAATTTTTTAAGAAATATATTATCTATAAAAATATACTTTTCAATATTTTTGAATAACTATAGAGATTATTATTTTTTTTAGAAAAAAACATTTTCTATTTTCCAATACCAAACACACCCTAAATGCACTTTTTGAATTGGTCTTTCCCCTATATATAAGCCAAACCAAAATATCAAAAATATCAACTTGAAATTTCCCAATTACAAAATACTCTCCAATAAATTACACAAATTTATATTTTGAATATAAGTTTATTATTAATATTATGGCTGATATTGCTATGTTGGTTGCTGAAGAATATGAAAGGAGGATCAAGAATTCAAGAAAATTTGGGAATGAAGAAAAAATTGAATTATTTTCAACTTTCTCTATTTTGGTTCAAGAGCTTAAATGGTCTTCTTCTAAAATAAAAATGAGATTTGGAGAAAATGAAAAAAGAGTTTTTGTTCCTCAAACTGAAATTGGTCTAGCAGCAATTAATGGTTTGTTTTCTGCTTGAAAAAAAGAAAAATAATTCAACAACTTTGGATTATTATTTTTATTTGTTTTGTTTTTACTTTTTTGAGTATTTTTTCTGTTTTTACTTTTTTAAAATTTTGTTTGGTGAAATTTTTATGTAGTATAATTGTAATAGAATCGTAAATGTAATTATTATTCAAGTTTATGACACGTATTATCTGTTGTTAAGGTAAATGTGTGCTTTTTATTTAAATTGTTACTTTTATTTTTCAATTTTGATGTGAAATTATCTTCATCTAATGAGTGGCTGTACACATAAAATTGTGCAGTCTCTTATTCGTGATGGTTTTTTTAATTACTAATTTGCAGGATTAAAGTGTGATTATAAGGAACAGATTTTTTGTACCTTGTTTTAAGAAGTTTGTATTTATTGTTAAAGAAGAAATTTCAAAGTTTATAATAGAAATTAGTAAACTTGGAATTGTTAAAATTAGTGAGAATTTTAGTAGCTTAGTTGAACTTTCATCTAGCTGATGAGGGTTCAAAAATTTCAAAATTTATAATAGAAATTAGTAGAATGAAGTGTTAAAACGAATCGGAGAATTTTAATAGGTTAGTAACCTTATCTGCTCTTTCATCCTAAGGGTTTGATATTTTATATTGTAATTTCCTCCCCGTTTTAAAAAAACAAAAGAAAAAAGAGTGTTAAAATCAGTCGGAAGCATTTGAAATTGTTGACTACAACACTAACATACTTGACTTTGGTGTAATTCATAGGTTGAATATGAAGAGAATAGAGTAATTGTCACGACTCAAAATGAGTCGTGAGTGGCATCCACACTTAACTTTATAAGTGGGGGAATCAAAGAATTCAAACCCCAATATATATCAATAATTCAATTACGAATAATAACAATAATGTGGAAGCTCAAAATTTATTAAATTAAAGTAACCAATCAAATAAATCTCTAAAGTCTAAGACTTATTGTTGACACCCAATTTTGACCTTCCTCGATATAATTAATTTCCGAACTTCTTAATTTTTAAACGATTTAAAATAATTGATTTTAGAAATTTCGAAAAAAAAATATATAGTTTGCAAGTTATTTTAAATAATTTGTCACTTTTTATAATTTTAAATAATAATATGTCTTTAATATAATTTTGCATATAATTAGTATTTTTATGAATATTCGAAAATTGCCTCAAAAAGATTTTATTTCGCTTAAATACTTTGCTAATTAGTTTAGTTATATAATAGTTTACACTTCTGAGTTAATTAGTTTATAATTAAGTCAATTATTTTATTTCGTTGAAATTAAGAAGCTCATTAATTAATTTATATTGATTTGCCTTATTTAATCACCAGCCAAATTTATTAAATGAATTCAATTTGGCTACACTCCTAATTCATCGGCTAAATTCGTAATGCAATTGACCACTCAATTCGATTAAAATTGCAACTTACTAGCCATTACTTTTACCTCACTAATAGGACCAATTTTTGGGCTTTTATCTTACAATTTTCAGCTGCCCAACTCTTCCAAACCAGCCCAAATCAGTAAGGCCCATCAGCGATGCATCTTTCAGCAACAACATACGTACAGCAGCCCACAAAACAGAGAAAAACCCATTCCAAAATAACCCACCTGCTATACATCAACAAATACATATCATCAGCCCACTTTTCAACCCATACCCAACCCGTTTCCAACTCTAAAAGAACCCAGAAATTTTCAATATTTCCAGTCCAACGTTATAGCAGCAAACGACGCCTACACGGAAAGCAGTAGTTGTTCAAGCGTCTTCTTCAGCTAGTACTGTTTCTGTACGACTCTCTGCGTTTCCAGCAGGCAGCAGGCACGTTTTTCCTCCCTTTCCTCTTCCGGAATAGGTCGAATTTCAGAGAAAAAGTATGCCTCATTTCAATGGTGAAAGAAATTTATGGCATTTGAATTTTGAATGGACTTTTTTCCTATTCGTTTTTCACCCTTTCCCCCCAAAATCCGAACCAAAATTCTTTCCCTATAAGTTCCCCTCTTTGTTAGAAGGGGGAAAAAAAAAAAATCTCAGTTGGAAATTTTGGGTTAGAAAAATTGTTGGCAGAGAACATTGAGTATTAGCCAAGTGTAGAGAGGAAGAAATACATCTAAACCAAAAGGAAAAATCTTTGAACTCG